GCTATCATCAGTAGGTGGTGGCTATCATCAGTAGGTGGTGGCTATCATTAGTAGGTGGTAGGTATCATTAATAGTTGGTGGCTATCATCAGTAGGGGGTGGCTATCATCAGATACTAACCCTAACCCTATAAAAGTACACCATAGGCAACAACCCATAACCTAGTGTAGTAACACATTCTTCCTACGTGTGTGAATGTATAGGGTACCCCAGCCTTACCTCAGTTCAGCCTCCCCACCACAAACCTTCTTTGACAGCAAAAGCAACAGAGAGAGAACAAAGCAAAAGAGAGGCTTTTAAAATGGTGCCCTCCGTCTCTGATTGGCTACTTGGCTGGAGTGTGAGCCAATCCACAGATCTTCTGGAGCTGGCAGCCAATCTTCCACTTCTCACCTGCAGGACAAAGGGAGGAGAGAGCGAACCAATAAACAGTGTGAAAAATAAATGAATTTACTATATAAAAAAACGAAATATAGAACGAAAAACACGCTCCGCCACACACTGACACACCACAATCTCCCAGCATGCACTGAGAGAGAAAGAGAGACAGAGAGTGAGAGAGACAGAGAGAGATAGAGACACAGAGAGAGGGAGGAGATAATGACAGAGTGGAGGAGGGGTCACTTAAACAGTTCAGTCTGTTCAACAGTTCGGTCACTGACTGTTTCTCTCTCTCAACCTGTTTCACTCTCAGTCTGTCTCTCTGTCAGGATGGATGACTGTCATCATGGTTTATTAATTATTATGTTTTTGCTGCAGACGGATTTTTTACACTCAATTTACATAAGTGACAACACAGGTGAGTACTACACACAGAACTACACACAATACTAAATACTAAACACGGTACTACACAAAAACTACACACAATACTAAACACAGCACCACATACACTACTAGACACACTATACACATTACTACACAGTACTACATATTATACTACACGCAGAACCACACACAACTGAACACACTAGTATACACAATATATATGTTTGTTATCATGATATTTGATATTGTGATGTTTGTTATGACGATATTTGATATGGTGATGTTTCTGTCTTGATTACATTCAGTTTTTAGTAACTTTGGATAAAAGTCTCAGTAGAGGAGTAAATGTGAATGTTTGCGATCTACAGTTAGATATTTTCTAGAACTCTGATTCCGGTTCTTCCAGTTTGCGTCACTGACTCGTTCATGATATACACTCAGTGAATGAATCCATAAGAAAATGTTCAAACATAAAAAGTTAACTCCTTGTTGTTTTGACAGATTCTCTTCATCAGGTTTTGTCAGAGTTTGGTGTCATTCGTCCAATCAGGACCGACTCAGGGGGACACTTCCTGTCAGTTTCAGTCTCCGCCCACCACCTGCATCACACTAGAAGACATGCCCACAACCCAGAGGACACGCCCAGTGACGTGGAAAATGTCAGACATAAAAGACAGGCACAAACAGACACACCCATATTACAGTTGTCCCTGCCCATGGATGAATCACCATCCAACCAGACAAGTCATAGGTTGTGGGGGAGGGATCACATGCCTGAGGAGGAGCTTTACTACAATGTAACAGTGTTCGGGCGGGAGCTCCACCTGCGGCTGCGCCCGAACTCTCGTCTCATCGCCCCCGCCGCCACCATGGAGTGGGAGGAGTCAGGACAACTTCACTCTCAGCCAATAGGCGACACTGGCTGCTTCTACACAGGCGAGGTGACCAACATGGACGACACAGCTGTCGCCATCAGCAACTGTGATGGACTGGTAGGTGAATACACACAACGTAATGCACGAAAATATAATATAAATAAATGAAAACGACACAAAGGTGGCGAAGTGATGGCCAAATAGACCCCACCTCTCTCTCCCTCACTGCGACCATAATAAGTCATCTTTAACCTAACTAACCCCTTAGTATTTCAGTATTTGAGTATTTGAGTATTTGAGTATTTGAGTTACAGGCTTGTGATGTCATTGCTGTGTCATCACAAGTTGTTAGCCTCCCAGAATCAGGAATGCCTCTGATTGGGCAACATGGTTTCAGGGTTTGGGTTATATCGCCACCTGCTGGCAGTAATCCTCCTGTATGTGTTTTCACGTGGTCCGGAACAAACTGAATTTGAGTTTGTGTTGCCCAGTTATTGATTACCATGGAAACAGCTCTCCTGGTTAGTCTGATTAGTCAAACGAGTTTTGTTCAGTCGACAGAACCAGAGACGTCGGCTTCCTTGAGTTCTTTTTGTTTAAAAACTTGTGTATGAATGTTCTTTAGATTAGTTTCATCACAACGTTTATCTCTGGATGTCAGCTCATCTCTATTTCTTTATTTTAAAAACTGATGTGTTACATAATTGTTCAAGGTTTAAAATATGGATAATAATAAAACAGAATCTTCAAAAAAACCTTCATCATCTTCGACAGTGATGAAGCTGCAGATGGAGGCAGATGTTTGGACAGATGTTGATGGTTATTAATGTGACCTGCTGTGAGTTTAAAACACAGAGGAAAGAGCAGAAAGACGATTTGAATCCCTGTTGAGTGACCAAATAAAATTGTCTTTAGTCACAAATCTGAGCCTGAAAATGATAAAAACCTGAACAGCAAAGAGAGTAAAAGTTATTTACTGGTTCTTTTTCTCAGGAACATTTTCAAAATAAAAATATCCACCGACCAGTGAATAGAAACAAGTCGATGGGTCTGAGAGTAGATATGACTTCAGGCCAAACACTGCAAACCATGACGGTCTGAAGCCACGTTGCCTCAGTGACATCTGTCTGAGTTTACCCTCACTTCTTACAGCGTGGGCAGAGCCACTGATTTCATCCAGATGTGGAGAGGAGGGAAAAAAATAACACGAATATTTTCCTGCTGCAGCTAAAGCAACAACTGCTGATTATACAGGGTTAGATTGTAGATGATAGATGGTATATTACAGATTATGGATTATAGGTTATAGATTATAG